AGCAGCAACAACAACAGTTATCGACTCAGATACTTCCGACTGATCTCTCCTTGCCATATGCTGGATGTCCAACTGCCGTACAGTTAATGCCATCTGTGGGCCAGGCAGCACTGCAACAGCAACAGTATCTCAACCTACTACTACAGGCGCAACAGCAGCTACTGAAATATCAGCAGTCTCCGCAGCACCAACTCCAACAACAGTATCTACAACACCCACAACTATTACAGCAACCGGTGATGGCTAAATCTCAACAGACAGCTCTCTCACTTTTAACCGCCTTTGGCCTGCCTGCCAATGGGCTATTTAACCTTAACAAACCCACAAACTCGATTTCTAATCCTTCATTCCCTCAGCAACTACAAACCCCACCTCAAGGATCTCCCCTTCCCAATACACAGGCTGTAGCCAATCTATCAACCCTTGGTCCTCCAATGTCATCGCTTCTGACATCATCGGCTACACAGGCGGCTATACCACTCTACTCCACTTCACCGGGCATCACTTCCATTACCACTACCACCACTACTGCTGTCACCGATTCATCCGGCAGTATATTACTACCACCGCCTCAACGCTTGGTGGATAATGAGCCATCAATTAGCTCTGGTCACCAACAGCCATGGCAGATTGGTCAGGCACCTATACAGCTGCAACAACATTGGCTGAATAATCAAATTTATCAACAGCAATTACGAAGTCTTCTTAATTCTTTGGGATCTTCTAGACCTTGCCAAGATCAGGTATGTTTTATCCCTACTTTCGATTTTTTAATAATTCTTTTTTACCACTTATACCAACTATTTTCAACCGAAGGCTCGTACTGTGCCTGTATTGTCTAGCCTGGCCTCCACCTCGTCTTCGCCTCCTATACCCTCGGCTGCTCCATCAAATCTTCCTGCAACCTCTCTTGCTCCCAGCAACTCTGCTGTACTATCTTCATCATGGTCCGGACAGGTATCAGCTCCAATGACAGTAATGGCTGGCCAACTGGCAACCACAACCACTACCAGCACCACCAGTACAATCGCCACTGCCAACGTAGCTATCTCTACAACCGGTAATGAGGCAGTTGGATCTGGCTCGGTATCAACCGGAGCTAGTCTGGCTAGCCTTTGTGCACTTGCGGACATGCTCGGTGCTCCTAGCCATCCTCTCCCAAATGAGTTCGCCTCGCTTACGCGAAATCAAACACTAATAGGAACTTCGTCAATAGCCCCTGGATCTTCCAGTGTTAGTCAGCAAACCGGTATGGCTCTTCTCGGTCAGTCAGCTATCCCATCTTTGTTAGCACAGCACCTATTATTTTCACAGGATGGACACTTGGTTGATCATCCACAAATCAACTCCTTTCTTGGAACGCCTTTTGAGAATTTGACATACAATGCTGGAACGGTCGTACCTGCGTCACTAGCACACATTGCTGGACAGACAAATGCTACGCCAGTCCTGAGTGGACCCTCAATTTCCCAGTCCGGACCAGCTATCGCAAACTTTCCTAGCAGGACAGCCGGTATTTCACATGCTTCCTCGCTTGGACAGGTATCTATTCTTTATGCCTTAAGTTTATTTTAATTCTCTTACTTTTCGGAGTTAATAATTTTTTATTGTGATACCAGTCGACTTATTTTTGAACTAACACGATTACTTGCTAATCAACTATTAATTCTCGCTTACAAATTTATTAGTCGCTGATTTTTAATTTTAAAAAATATTTTTTGCAGTGTATCTGGATTAGTTATTATTTGTATAGTTATTTCTCTTTAATAACTTTCCAGGCCTTGTTTATATTGGTTCTCTGGACGTAAGTACCATCACTTGCCCTTCTGTGTACTTATGAGTATGCTGACAAAATATATAAAAAATCGCATTAGTTCAAGGGTAATCAAATCACAACTGCCAGCTCCACTGAAATTCCATTTGTGCCATTCTTTGCGAATTGGTTTTTCCTTACTTAGTAACTATTCTTTTTCGAGTATTGATGGATTTGCCTTTTTTGCTATACCAAATTCTCTGCCTCAAATCTCTTAGTCCTACCGGCAGAGTTACTAAAAGATTTGAACGATATATCGTGTCCTATGTTTGTCCTATGTTTTGTTTTTGATGGCTTTTTTGTTATTTATATGTTTCATAAAGGGATTTGCGCCTTTCATTTGTGACATTAAAAAACAAGTTGCGCTTTATATTTTGATTTTCCTATATGGGAGAAAATGTCCTTAAACATTCGATACAACTAGATTAATATTGCATTCTCAAACTTATGACTAATATGCACTTATATTATTCTGAATAAATTGACTTGGACAGGTTTTGGTCATTCCATGTTCTTAATACAAGAAGTGTGATCCATATTAGCCATCGTCAGTTCCAATTCCTGTTTTGCTGGATCTTTTTGTCGTTTATTCTTTATAACGCGAGAATTTGTAGGATATACTTGCTTTCACTCATTTAAGATTTCTTATATCTTTGATCTGTTTAAATTAATTTTTACTCGAATTTCTATACAAAATTAGATTTGAGATCTCAACACCCAGACTCAATAACAATAAGGGTACAATTACATGATTTACATAAGTAATCTTTAACTTATTTGTTAATAGTCTCGAAACACTTTATTTTACATTATAATTTTATCTATCTCTT